TTCAAACTTCACCACATTGCACAGGCAAGTGGCTATCAGGACTAAGTAGCTGAGTGGATAACGTGATGACGTTTGAAGCGAAAGGTACTGGGTTCGAATCTCAGAGAATACTGGTTTCAAATGATACCTATAACAAACATTAAGTTGAAATGAGTAAAACTTACAAATAAAGCCCATCATAAAATCTATCAAATAGATAATAAATGATAATAAAAATTGACTAAAAGTTATCCTTTATGAAACATCTTAAATAATAATAGTCACGTATGTATTTCACCATGAGGATTCATAACTCCTCTAAATGAAGACCTAACTCTCAGGGCAGAGTTGAAATGGTTTGAATGATAGTTTGTAGTTATCGTTTCGTTAGCGAGTTAAATTTCTACGGGATGCGGTTGCTAACTCCATGACCAACCTTACTCCTTTATCAGTGCTTGGGACAGGCAGTAATCCCATAGGAGCTCCAGGCTCCAGGCCATCATACAGAAGGTACAAGTGTTTATTAAAAGTTGTCTACGCAAAATACTTTGGGTCCGTTGACCAGACACTATCACAAACAAACTACTATGCGTGAAAATAAACCAGATTTCAGTGGAGAAAGAAATCAGGAAAACATACTGGAACTGGATAGGATACATATTGTAGAATACACCCAACTGTATCACAAGGCAAGCCCTTACATTAAGTGCTCAAGGTGAAAAGAAAAAGAGGAAAACCAAATCACACTTTAAAATAAGAAATGGCGACAATATATGAAAAGAATGAACAACAATTTTAATAGAACTAGAAAGAAAAACCGAGAATACGGTGTGTTGGTGAAAAAAACAACTAGTGGGTGGCTTATACTTCACTGGCAATAACAGGGATAAGTAAGTATGTATGTCAGTAAGTAAGTAAGTAAGTAAGTAAGTAAGTAAGTAAGTAAGTAAGTAAGTAAGTAAGTAAGTAAGTAAGTAAGTAAGTAAGTAAGTAAGTAAGTAAGTAAGTAAGTAAGTAAGTAAGTAAGTAAGTAAGTAAGTAAGTAAGTAAGTAAGTAAGTAAGTAAGTAAGTAAGTAAGTAAGTAAGTAAGTAAGTAAGTAAGTAAGTAAGTAAGTAAGTAAGTAAGTAAGTAAGTAAGTAAGTAAGTAAGTAAGTAAGTAAGTAAGTAAGTAAGTAAGTAAGTAAGTAAGTAAGTAAGTAAGTAAGTAAGTAAGTAAGTAAGTAAGTAAGTAAGTAAGTAAGTAAGTAAGTAAGTAAGTAAGTAAGTAAGTAAGTAAGTAAGTAAGTAAGTAAGTAAGTAAGTAAGTAAGTAAGTAAGTAAGTAAGTAAGTAAGTAAGTAATTAAGTAAGTAAGTAAGTAAGTAAGTAAGTAATTAAGTAAGTAAGTAAGTAAGTAAGTAAGTAAGTAAGTAAGTAAGTAAGTAAGTAAGTAAGTAAGTAAGTAAGTAAGTAAGTAAGTAAGTAAGTAAGTAAGTAAGTAAGTAAGTAAGTAAGTAAGTAAGTAAGTAAGTAAGTAAGTAAGTAAGTAAGTAAGTAAGTAAGTAAGTAAGTAAGTAAGTAAGTAAGTAAGTAAGTAAGTAAGTAAGTAAGTAAGTAAGTAAGTAAGTAAGTAAGTAAGTAAGTAAGTAAGTAAGTAAGTAAGTAAGTAAGTAAGTAAGTAAGTAAGTAAGTAAGTAAGTAAGTAAGTAAGTAAGTAAGTAAGTAAGTAAGTACTTATGTAAATTTCCTATCCATTAAATTTCAATAACACAATAAAATTATTCAAAGTCTATAAATCTTCGATTGTTTTTTTTTCCAATTTTTAAGGGAAAATAAAAATCCAAAAATAAAACAATAAAATATCCATATTGACTATTGAAACATACGGGCGTCAATTTTTCTTTAATGTATACATATCACGCTGATTAGAGTAAAGTAAGAACAGGACGGAAAGGAAAGCAAATGTATATTGTAAAAGTGGTAGGGATTTTTGTGATTGAAATGGATAATTAAAAGAAATCTAATTTTCATATAGTCAAAATGAGAAATAATATTGATAGGGTTTTGTTCTTTGACCTAGGATGATTTGGTCCTTAAGCCGATCAATAGAAACCAATCAACATTGATGTCTACATAATAAGATGTGAGTCATATGTGAAGAAATTCAAATAGTTCACTTATACTTGATATTGTTCAGAAGAACGATAAAAGCTCTACAATTAAACCATCCAGATTAGAGACCAAAACTTAATCAAAATCATTCACCTGAGCTAGAAATCTCCACGATCTCGAGAAATAATGTTGTTTTACTTGATTAAAAATCAAAGATTTACATCAATAAATTTTTGAACTTACTATTGTATTACTTATACCCCTCGTGGAAAAACAAAGGCCTCACACCAGTACTCCCTATTCAACCCTGTCCTCACCAATACTTTCCAGTTATTTTCAGTTTCTATTCATCTTTTTCATATCTACTTCTATATGCCGTTCTTTGGTCTTCCTCTTTTTAGCTTTTCTTCACGATCCCAAGTTAGCGCATGCTTCGTGATGCAGTTTAGTAATTTCCTTGTTGTATGTCCTATCTATATCAAACGTCTTTTCCTGATTTCCCCCTCAGCTGTAAGCTGGTTTGTTCTCTCCCACAGAAGGCTGTTGCTGATGGTATTTCGCCAGTGAATGTTCAGTATTTTGCGTAAACAACTGTTTATAAACATTTGTACCTTCCTGATGACGGCCGTAGTATTTCTCCACGTTTCAGCTGTGTGCAGTAGAAGTGTCTTGATTTCGTGTTGAAGATTGTAACCTTGATGTTAGTTGACAGTTATTTTTAGTCTCATATGTTCTTCGTTTGTAAGAATGTGATCCTCGTTTTCCCAATCCTCGCGTTTACATGTGCATCCGATCCTTCTTTTTCATCAATGATGCTGTCCAGGTACGTGAATGTTTCTACATCTTGCAGAGTTTCTCCATCAAATATGATTGTGTTGGTGTTCTCTATGTTGTATTTGATGATTGAACTGACACGCAATTATTAAAACAAAATGAAAATAATCTCTAATTGTTCCTATGACTATTGATTTATCTTGAACTTTCTATAGATTATCTTAGTTTTACTTTTAAAATTCTAAATGGACTTAAATAGTTGATCATTGAAAACCGACAACTTACTTCGTCTTTAGGGAAACACTAGTGAAACTATCAGGAATCTATGAATAATAGTAATAATAAATTCAATTAGTATTGTTTGTATGAATCTTTCCATTGATGTTTTAGGACTTCAAATGATCAGTCTCTAATTGGCTATATGTGCATACTATGCGTATTGCCTCAATATAGCCTTAATTCACAAGCATTTTAAGCAAAGGTGGGTAGTTGCTAGCAATGGAATCTAGTTTGACGCGCATTTCGTCTTATTTCGGACTCGTCAGCTGGATGTAACTGCATCTTAGAGTTGATGTTCACTCTGGTACTGGAACCCAGTACCTTCCGCTTCAAATGCCATTGCGTTATCCACCTGGTTACTGAGACCTGATAGCCACTTTCTTGTGTAATGGGGTGAAGTTGAAATTTACATAGTATTGTTTGTATGAATCTTCCCATTGATGTTTTAGGACTGCAACTGGTCAATACTTATATAATAATAATAATATATTAGTAATATTTTAATGAGTAGAAACCAACTAAGTTTTAAAAAGGTTTTGACTTATTTCATGACTCCATCTAAAATCACTTCTCTAGAGAATAATTAAATCAATTAAATAAGGGAAATCAAATTTAAATCGTCTTTCTTTTATTCCCCTTTTGTACTATTTTAAACTTCAATTCATTTTGATCTATTTATTTAATTCTCTGATGAATTAGCTTAAACTAAGTCACGAAACGTCAAAAAAATTCTTTCTACACATTGGGATAATACAATGATGTATATTATTTCTGTTAACAACAACCTATTCAATTGATCTGGAATTGTCAGATGAGTTGGGAGAGAAGTTTGTATGGATGATATGGTTCCAAAGAACGATTAAAGCTCACCGACCAAGAAATCCAACTGACTGAAGAAAACTCTAACGAAATATTTTGCTTTCTTTGGTTAGCTTATATAACAAGGAAATAGATCTTCATATATCGTTGAAATCATGAGTCAATTGAAGCTAGACCACCATGGAAAACCTGGAAGCAATGGACGGCCGTTTCAACCTATTGTGGGACTCTTCAGCAGTGCACATCTACGATCCCACCTCACGAGATTCAAACCCAGGACCTAACAATCTCGTGCACAAGCGCTCAAACACTAGACCAATGAGCTGGCATTCAACGATGCTGAACTATGCGACTTACACTATTATTATTTTATTATTCTTATCATAACGCTCAGTACACTTGTCTATTTATCATCAATTTATACTTTATACGCAGTTTCTGCAGTTATATAATCTATTTCATCATGATTAATATTGATTAATGAATGGTCTAGAATGATTTAACATTTTGATCTAAATATTGATATCAAGCCTGATGATAAATCAATGGAGAACAATATTGTCCTCTTATGTCTATGTTGTTCTAATTTACACAATGAGAACTTTCAATATTTTACAGTCTAAGTAATAGAATATAAATAAATAGAATATAATCAGATAGGGGTTTGGTGGGGATTTTAGTTATTTTACAGAGTTGACATCATTAGTCTAGTGAGTTCTGATGAGAAGCAGTAACCAGTGGAGTTCAACGAGGTCTGTTGGGAGATATCAACTCACTGAAGTCATTGGTAAAATGGTTGCTCAATTTCGTGGATCGGTTGAATTTAGACATTAACACCGTTGAATGACGGCTGACTCAGTGGTCTATCGGTTAAGTGCTCTTGCGCGAGACTGATAGGTTCTGGGTTCGAATTTCGCGAGGCAAGATCGTGGATGTGCACTACGGAGGAGTTCCACGGTTTCACAAAACGGGCGTTCAGTGCATCCAGCTTTTCCATGATGGTTTAGCTTCATTTGACTCATGATTTCAACTCTATAAAAATAGAATATAAATGAATAAGAGGAATTCAATTATTATATTTCAATAAAAATACTTAGATATAAGTTACAAACAACAACAACAACATTGTTACGTAATATTATATATATAAATCCATATTCATATATATATAGAGAGATAAATCTTGTTTTAATTACATATAAATAACTGAACTGTTAAAGTGACAATAATTTGAATAGTATTCACATTCACACACACACTCACACACGCACGCACGCACATATGGAAACCGAAAAAAATAGTAACAACTATTTTTTATGAATAGAGGGGGGTAACTGTCTTAGGTAATTAAGTAAGTAATATATATATATATATATATGTATATGTATTAACAATGAATTGTGAGAAATGCACATTTAGATATACTTGGAGAGATTCAACTTTAAGGAGAAGATGAATTTAGTCATTAGAAGAAAGAAAAAACAAAACAAAAAAAGAAGTAAAACTTATTAACAAAATGTAATTGTAAATATAATTGACAATATCTAATTAGGTTATTTAATAAATCAATATTTATCACCTAATAATCAATATAGATCAATTTATGTATCCATGGTAAATGTATGAAAAAAAAAAATGATTTCAATTTAAAGAACCAAATGTCTATATCATTGATAAATAATTTAATATAAATTATATACATCTATTTTGAATTATTGATTAGATAAATAAAATGAAAAGGAGATTAATAATGTATATAAGTTATGATGAGAGATTTTACATCAGTTATTCAATATTGATCTTATAACCCAAATGAAATATCGAAGTATATTAGAGGACAATTAGTTGCTATATAATGATTCATTATAAAATGAAGATAAAGAAGACAATATGATAAATGAGAATGACGATAATGATCGGGATCAATGAAAATGATTCTAATTGAATAATTTTATAGATAAAATAACATATAAATGTATATGTATAAAAAAAAGACAATTAGTTTGCTATATAGTGAGTGATTCATTGTAAAATGAAAATAAAGAAGACAATATGATAAATTAGGATGATCACAATGAAGATAATGATAATGATCCGAATCAATGAAAGTGATTCAAATTGATTAGTTTCACAAATAAAATAACATAAGAAAACTATTCTGATTTGATTGAATATATGTAAATCCCCCCCTTCCTTCTTTTTTTTTTCTTTGTTGTTAGTTTTTATATGCATATTTTCAAAAAGAATCCACTAGTAGATTCAATCCATTTATAAATAATAAAACAAATGAAAAAAAAAATAGGAAAAGTTAACATAACAACTAATTCATTGAAAAATGATGAATTCAATTGATTTCCTGATTACATTGAGATAAATGTATAATAGTTATATATTGCAATAGATAAATGTATATTATCTCCATATACGAAGTGTATTGTATACAATTAAAGTTAATGTTTAATCCCCCCGCCGCTTATTTATCAATCTAATAAATAGTAATAATAATAATCGGTCAATTATGCTTTAGATTTAAACATTAAATTGATTATTATTATTATTATTATCAATCATTGATTGATCTTTAGTTGTTAAGGATGTAACATCACTTATTGATGGTACAACTGTTATGATTCCATTTGTAGTTGAGGGTGATGTAGTTCCTACATTTAAACGTGGTGGTGGAGTAATTTTAGTTTTATTTTGTTGATTATTAGTAGTATTATTTTTACTATTGGATCCATGATTATTATTATTATGCATAAAATGTGTCACTAAATCAACTGGTAATGGAAATATTATAGTAGAATTTTTTTCAGCTGATATAGTACTTAATGTTTGTAAATATCTTAATTGTACAGCAAATGGTGATTCTGTTATAACATCAGCAGCTTCTTTTAATGCACGTGATGCTTTCCATTCACCTTCAGCAGCAATAACCTTTTTATGGATAGATATTAAAACAAAAAATTAAAAAGTATATAAGAATATACATTCATTTCTACATTCATATTCATTAGAAATGATCAAATGGAAAAGAAAACCTAGAAAGTAAGAAAAAGTTGGATTAATCAACAGGTGCGGAATTGTAGATGTGCACTGCTGAAGAGTCTCATAATAGGAAGAAACGGCCATCCAGTGCTTCTAGGTTTTCCATGGTGGTCTAGCTTCAATTGACTCACGCTTTCAACTATGAAAATACTAAATCTTCACAAAACCCCCTCTGATTATAGTCAAGAGGTATTCATAATTCTTCATAAAGATAACTGGAATGAATGATTCATTTCATCGTTATATATACATATGGCTTTGATGACATTTTAAAGATGTACGACTTCTGATTTGAAAGCAAATGCCATATCGAAAACGACACTGTAAGAGATTTCGATAGGAGTATGTTACTGTTTAATATCTAGTATCAATTTATAAGACGTAATCAATAATATTCAGATCATCATTGTAGTTATGATGTCTATTTGATTGAACTTGATGAAAATACGTAAACAAGAGATGAATTGAAATATAATAACTAACTTACAAATCTGGTTTCCAAAGTTTACAAAACCTTATTTTTAACATTTTTCTTTTTTCATAAATAATTATCAAAACAACCAAATCATTCATAGTTATGTAAGTTACTTGAATAAAGGTAATACAATGCATTTTCATTCATGTAAAGTGTATTATCAGATTAAAGAGAATAAAGAAGAAAAAAAACACAATTGTTTATTAGATTACTACACTTTATATATACCACTTGACAACACTGAAGATATTTGAACGACAGTATCTTAGTTATGTTTGTTTTTTATTAAAAAGAACATAACTATGCAATGAACATGTGACTGTTTTAAGTACTAAACTATGTGATGTAATGTAGAATGCAAAATCAATTCTTACGATTTATTGTTCATTTATTTATTTATTTAAGTGGAAAATTTTTTTTTAAAAAAAAACTGTACTATTGTATTATGTGTTTTTGATATCGATACATATAAGTAGTATGTATCATCAATCGAAAATGAAATACCACGAGGTAAGAGGTTAAGAAGATTAAAGAAAACAAAATGAGAACAGAGAATGATTATTGTGGAAACAAATGAATAATAAAATATGAGACGGTTGACAGACATTTCACAAATCAAGTATTTACTGTATAGTTAGAATATTTTACTATAAGACATTTTGTATTTTATGCTTAAATACATTCAATTATCCCTTGTTTGTATTCTTATTCACTATCTTATCTGTTCGGATATAATAATGTTATTGTTATGTAGTAACGAAGACATAAGTACGGGTAACTTGCAGGACCTACTATTGGACTATTATTCTTATTGTATAACTATTCGGTAACTAGATTATCTAAGCTTTATTTTAACCTATTGATTATTATTGTACGATTTACTGTCCCTATGTTATGCTCAGATTTATTGATTATTGTCACCCACGCTTACAGCCTCATTTGGCCTGGTTTTGTACAAATATATTATTTTCTATTTTATGGTGTTGTGTGGTCTGCCTGTCTGGTATATAAACAAAGTATGCTTGAAATAAACGATTCGTATTGCCGAGGCTGCTATTGATGTTTTGGACTCAAGTGGACGGGTTAGGCGGATAAGAGCCAATAACGACGCTAGATTACTCACACTAATCGAACGTCATTGTCACAGTGTGAAGGTCGTAGAAGTCGTATTGTATTGGTGGATAATTTACGCGAATTACGTCCTTGTTAAATTCGTAAGGTCATAACGAATCAGCGACGACCTTGATGAAGACATAACAATTGGCTACCGCCTAGGTCAAAAACATAACAAATTAGCAACGGCTAGGTCAAGTCATAACAGTTATTCATATAATAATGAAAGAAAAACAACACAAAGAGAGATACAATTGAACAATTGAACAAAAGATTCATCTTGACTCAATATTTTCTCTTTATCTATTCTGATAAAATTGAACTAATTTAATAAAGAAATAAAAAAAAACAAAATGAATCCATTATAATTATAAATAAACTGATAATCAAGAGTTTGATTATTATTATTATTACATAAAAGGGAATATTTTTTAACAAGGTGATGGTTACCATGTTAACAACTATATGAACTATTTTCTATTATAAAATTGAATTCAATTTTCGATATTATAATAAATACAGTGTATGATTAGTGATAAAATTGTAAAACTTCACTTATAGCACCTTTGTAAAGCTACTACCAATCTTATGCCCGGATAAAAGGAGGAAGGTTGAACATGCCGGTTAGCTATTATATGCTTTAGAAAACTAACTCTCTCTCTCTAAAAAGAAAAAAATTGCTAAGTAAGATAAGACTAAAAAAATCTTGTGTAACATTTTCAAAAGATCTGAACAAATTAGAACTTAAATTATCTAAGATAATTGTTTTAATCAAACAAAAAAAAAAGAAGAATAATATCATTAAAGAAGATTAATAAATTATGAAAAAGGGTTAAAACAATTTAAAAAAAAAATAAATTAGGATAAGCTAATTTCATTTTATTATAATAATGATATTAGTGATAACATTCTTTTCATTCATTCCTTTTCATCGATTATATATAGTTGCTATCTTAGTTACAAAAGAAAAACACATTCAGTATTTCTATAAACAGTTTGATCAGATATTTAAGATTGAAACTATTTCAATTAAAAATTTGTATTATGGTGTGATCTACTTATATCCTCATAAGTAGTATATGGTGATGGTTAGATTTAGAATATATTTTGACAGAAGACAGAGAAGGAAAGAACAAGAATGAAGTATAATTTTTGAGAAAGTGAATGAACAATGAAATTACAAAAGATGAATTGATATTTACAGAAGGAACAGTAAAGATTGAGACAATTGATTGATAATTTGCAAATTAACTGTTTACTGTTGTATGATTATCAGAATTTAGTGGAATAGTTTGTAATTTTGTGCTTAAATACATCTGATTATCCTAAACAGTAGTCTTGTTCACTACGGTACGACTATACAGCCTGATAATAAATTCGTTGAAAGGAGATGCCTATGTTGAACTCCTTTTTTTAATTTTTAAAGTTGTAAATACAAAGTTTTAGGAAGTTCCATATATGGACAAAATTAGTACCAAGTTATTCTGCTACTTCATATTTGTCTAGTTTAAATCAGTCTATGATATAAATTACATTTGAATACAAGCAAACGTTTTATAAATAGATGATTATTTGGAAAGTTGAATCTTAAAGGATTATTTTCTAAACAGTTATTAATTTCTATTATAGGTTTTTACCTGATGAAATTGCATTATTCAGTCGTATGTGATTGAGAAAACTCAAACATCTTCAAACTCTAATCTTTCCGATTACTGATTATACTCTTACCACTTCTACCACTATGGGATTTCAATCGAAAACTAGATCTCTGTGTTAATGTGGTATGGCAGTTTTACGTCGTGTTTGACTAACTGACTGAGGTTACTCAAACAATACCCACAATTACAAATACTGTATATCACTTATGTTAAAGGGTAAATAAACTTGAAATTGATACTTCTTTCGATCCATTAATAATAGAGTAGTTTTAATATAGTGATTAGTATCACGAAATCAATAGAGCTATTAATAATAACAGTATTATTATCATTATCATTACTATCAATAATGTTGCAAACATATATTACTAACCTTAGCTCGAGCTTCTCTAGCTGCTTCAGCTTCGGCTGCCATAGCACGTTGTAATTGAACAGGAAGACGTACATCTTTACTAATAGAAAACATAGAAAATTTGGTATTTATTCATTAAGTTTACTTATTAATATATAAACAGTAATGTAAAATAAAATAAACCATAATCTAAATTATTTATATTTGTGCATATATATTACTTTCCAATAAATAATAAGTAATGTAATAAATCATTAGTATACAACTAAATTAGCTGAATCAGTTGCCTAAGATTTACTTCTCATAGTTGTATAATGATAGAGTCAAGGCAGAGCACATCCACAATCCCGCCACACGAGATTCGAACCCAGGACCTATCATTCTCGTGCGCAAGCGCTTAACCTCTAGATCACTGAGCCCACCGTCATCCAACGGTATAAATGTCTAACTTCAACCAATCCAAGAAATTGAGGAACACATCCACCATTGTCTTCAGTGAGTTACTATATCACAAGAGACCTGATTGAACTCCACTGGTTACTGCTTCTCACAATAGGACGAAACGGCCATCCAGTGCTTCTAGGTTTCTCATAGTGGTCTAGCATAAATTAAATCATGATTTCAACTATAAAATATGATTTCCTCTTTGAAGTTTAAATTATAAATGATCACACATTTTTCAACGAAATAACTACTAAAGTATCTTTGATTATGTTATGAGCCGTCAAAAGTGAATGAACTGATCTATCTCACATTTAACAGTAAACATTATTTATTGCAATCATCTACGACGACACATTTATTGGCTTTTGAAACTATTACACTTCGATAAATTCAGATCAACCAATGTGAAAACAACATTTATTGTAACTGTGGGATATATTAGTACAATGTATTTCGAACAATCTAATCATACACTAACATGTTAAGGTAGTTACGTAACAAACTAAGGTAAAAACAAGGTATATTAGAACATTTAATAAATCAGTGTAAAACAAAATATTCTGGATATTTAATGATAATATCTGTTATGTAGTTAGCAATAACCTCTGCTTTTAGCAATGAATGAACAAGCTGAATGTTAATTCAGTTAACTTACACTTCAACACGTTCAACTTTTACACCCCAAGGATCTGTAGCTTCATCCAACATGGTCTAGTGAAGATGACATAAAAGAAGAGAGATAAACAATAAACCAAAAACAGTATGCAAGAAATCCATTACAAGCATTAACCTTAAACTCATAGTAATTTAAATTGTATTGATCCTACTACATTTTGAGGCACAAAGTGAAATGACCATACTTGTAAAATTCAAGACCATATTATTATTTTGAAGGATTTATCGAGATTGTAGTATTTTCAAAAATGAATTCACGAGTTAATCTGGCCTAGACCACCAATGAACACTTGAAAGCACTGGATGACCGTTTCGTCACAGTATGAGACTTTTCACCAGTGTATATCTACAATTCTCAAGAAGGATTCAATCCAAGGATATTCGGTTTCGAGTGCAAACGCTTAACCTCTGGACCACTGGGCCCAGATCCAACGGTGTAATGTCTAACTTCGAAAGATCCATGACTTTGAGCAACCCTTCATTCATTGTTTGAGATGAATAACTTTCTCACAATTGACACATTGCACTTCACTAGTCACGGCTTCTTACTAGAACTCTAGGAAATCCATCTTAAAGCTAGTCACTAGTAAGTACATGATTATTATCAATTTTGGGGGGATTTGTGGAGATTATAGTAATTTCAAAGTTGAATTCACGAGTCAGTTTAACAGTCCCTTACTTGAACGAAACGACCGTCTAGTGCTTCCAGGTTTTCAATGGTGGTCTAGCTTACATTGACTCGTGAATTCAACTTTGAAAATAATAATAATATTTTTTGCAAAACAGATTATGCAATAAATAATAGTTATGAGTATTTCATAACGATTTTATTTCACATATGAATGATGCCAAGATAACTTTAATATAGAAATGTACTAACATTCTTATTATAATTCTTTTCATCAGAAGGGGTTTTGTGGAAATTTAGTAAGAAGTGAGAAGCAATGACTAGTGGAGTTCAAACCACGTCTGTTGTGAGATAAGAACTGACTGAAGACAATTGGTTAACGGTTGCTCAACTTCGTGGATTGGTTGAAGTTAGACATAAACACCATCGGATGCTGACTCAGTAGTCTATCGGTTAAATGCTCTGGCCCGAGACTGGTAGGTCCTGGGTTCAAATCTCGCAAATCGAGGTCTTGGACGCGCACTGCTGAGGAGTCCCACAATAGAACGACACGGTAGTCCAGTGCTTTCAGGTTTTCGTTGGTCATCTAGTTTCAATTGACTCACGCTTGCAACTATAATTCTTTTATTATAAGGATTACTTTAAAACTTTTTCTTTTCTACATTTATTTAAGAGTATATATGTATATAACTTACTTGCATCATACCAGAGATTGTATCACGTTCTGATAAAATTTCAGATAAATTCTTTGTACCTAATACATTTCTTAAAGTAGTTGCTGCTAGAAGACGTGTTGATCGATCAGCATCTTCAACATTTGTAATTGCTACAACTGGATTATAAATACGATAGTAAACAACAGCATCTACAGCAACTGTTACAGAGTCACGTGTAAGTACCTAACAAATTGAAATGAGAAGACAAACGATGCAGATGATAAATATTATTTGAACATATTCAAACTACTGATTAGTGTTAGGAAATAAGTCGATCCAAATGAACTAATGATTAGTTATCATTTCCAGTGAAAATCAGTTTACGATGGTTGTGTTCTATTTATTATCATAGTAAACACCAAACATTAGGATATAGTTTTGTTTCTAGTCTCGAATGAGAAATGCTTGTTCATTCTCATGTTTACGAAACAAAACCATTTTTTCAATAAGAGTGTAATATACTTTTGAAAAGACTGAACTATTTATTCGTAAGCTTAACACTAACTTTTGACATTTGAAATCATGAATCAATTGAAACTAGGCCATCATGGAAAACCTGGAAGCATTGGATGGCCGTTTCGTCCTATTATAGGACTCCTCAGCAATGTTCATCATAGGACGAAACGGCCATCCAATGCTTGCAGGTTTTCCATGACTGTCTAGCATCAATTGATTCGTGAATATGACTATGACAATACTGAAACCTCTACAAAACTGTATCTGAATAACTTTTGAGTTGTCAATAAGTAAATCTTACTGTTTCAACATCTAAGAGCAACTTTATAGACGTATTCAAAAGAATGTTAAATCAATTAACGTAGGTCTTCTGTTCGTGTCTAACTCTTAACCTGAAATCTTAAATAAATCGATATGAAAAGTTGTATATTAATGATGATTAAAAAAAAAAGGAAACAAAACTCAGGATATTTAACAATTTCATGACCTGATAATTAGCCCATATGTTTGTTAAATAATGAGGAAAAAAAACATACAAGGTGATGTATAGGCATTATTAATTAGGGTTAAACAGAAGAAAAAAACTATTCAATTTATCTTAATGGATTTAACTCTATCAATGATAATATGCGTAATTTATTGATTTACTTATAGAAATCAACAAAATTTCTTTAGTAAATCAGTAAATTTGTGGATAGCGTGATAAAAATGGTTTTCAGCTAATGGTACTTGGTTCAAGTTTTCAATGAGAATATCAATATTCAGATGCTAGTGTACTCAGCCTGTGGCCTCTGCGGGGGCTACTGCCGGTCCGAAGCCCGGATAAAGGAGGAGGGTTGCACATCGGTTATCGATTCCATCTCGTAGAAAAATAAATCGCTAAAAAAACGCCACAAAATGGTGTACCCAGCTGATGAGTCTCAAATAAAGTGAAACGTATATCCTGAATTCTGATACCGGAAACAACCTAGTTATGTTACAAACATGTAACTAACTCCACTAAGAATGTTTATAAGTGAACAGAGACAGATCATTTGCAGTTTTCAGTAACATCAATAAATGTCTATTACGAAACCTTCATCAAAATTCATGATTTTTAAAGATCTGGTCACCGAATTCATATATAGACGACGTAACATCAGACAATATCTTGACAGCATTCAACAATATTTATAAAGTTATTAACAACAAGACAGTATTTAATAATTGATTTCTAATGGTGAGATTTAATTTTTCAAGTAGAATTAGAAAAACCATACACGTGGAAGAGGTATTCAAAAGCTCTATATGATTAACATTTTATGTTAATTAATCTTTTCACAATTGATTAATGAACGGGTAGTCATTTCATGTGTGTCAATTCCGTCTTAGTGACGATCGAATGCTATTGATCAAGTTGCAATGTGGCTACTAGTCTAGGTGGCTCGACACTGCGTACACTATGTTGAGTTAAGTTGGTGGTTGGAAGTTGTCAACAGGAAACCATGAAACCCGGGTTTTGTACTACTTGGCACTCTTCAGTAAGGTGTACCTGTAATCTTAAGGGAATAGGTGTTCCTTGACGGATTCAATCCCGTGTCATCTATCATAAGAGTCAGTGATGTTATCTACTGAGCTATACAAGTCTTAATGTTTTTCAACATGTATATTACTGTAACCATGATAGAATTGATGAATTTCATAAGATTACATATGAATTTCCTTAGAATATAAATAATGCAAATACAAAGGTGTTTGTTACTAATCAATCAACAAACAAACAAACAGTATGAACATTTCCACTCTACAAGACAATTGTATCCTTTAGTATATTTATGTATAAAACAAAACGATGTTTTATAATATATACATTATGTATATAGATTAATTTATTTAATTATAAAATGAACTAAAGATTATAACCTATTGATAAACAATTAAATAATTATCAGAAGGGGTTTTGTGAAGATTTTAGTATTTTATAGAGTTGAGATCATGAGTCAATTGAAGCTAGACTACCATGGAAAACCTGGAAGCACTGGACGGCCGTTTCGTCCTATTATGGGACTCCTCAGCAGTGCGCGTCCACGAACCCACTCTCGCGGGATTCGAACCCAGGACCTACCAGTTTCAAGCTTTGGTTGCTCAATTTCGTGAATCAGTTGAAGTTAGAAATTAACACCGTTGGATGCCAGCTCAGTGGTCTATCGGTCAAGGGCTTCGGCTCGAAACTGGTAGGTCCTGGGTTCGAATCCCGCGAGAGTGGGTTCGTGGACGCGCACTGCTGAGGAGTCCCATAATAGGACGAAACGGCCGTCCAGTGCTTCCAGGTTTTCCATGGTAGTCTAGCTTCAATTGACTCATGATCTCAACTCTATAAAATTAAATAATTACACGATGAATGTTGTACATCAGTTGTGCCATAATTATTTAGTTAGAAAAACATATAAGTGAACAGATGATAAACTAGTAAACATAATATATACTATAGTGAAAAAGGATACAAATGGGGTCAATCGAATGTAATCGAATACAATAGTCAACAGTTCATTTATAAACTATCAATCAAATGTCTTAATTTTAACTGTTCGTTTTGCAAACATCATTCATTTTTCTTTGATTTCATTGTTTATACATTTTCATACAAATTGCGCTTTATTTCATTAATTTCCTTATCGATCCTTAACATATACTGTAGTGAACAGAACACTAGTTGAGGACAATCGAATGCATTTAAGCAAAAATTACAGACTATTTCAATAAATTCTGATAACCAAACAATGAACAGTCAATTTGCAAATTAACAATCAATTGTTTCAATCTTTATTGTTTCTTCTCTTGTTCCATTGCTCATGCATTTCCCAAACGATTGCGTTTCATTTCAGTTCTTTCCTCATCGGTCTTCAGCGAAAATACATTCTATGCCTGACCCACACCATATACTACTTATATAGATATAAGTAGACACCACAATACTACTTATATGGATATAAGTAGACCATACCACAATACTACTATTATCTTTTAATTAGGAAGTAAAAGGTTATCCTTAAACTTTTTTTTTAGTAAATATATAAGAGAGATAATCAAAATCTTTATTATAAAAATAAAATTAATCAATCATAATATAGAACATAAATAAATATGGTTAATTAGCTTAAATTCAATGATAACAATTAATAAAACAATTCATAATAACAATTATGATACTTTTATTTTTCCCCCAGTTTATTGTTATTATTCAGTAATGTTTCGTTAGTAGACATAGTGAATACCCTACTGTTTGGTATATGTTAAATGTATTATAAGTTATAAAGTTGTGGAGAGTGTGGAATTTCATTGAAATCATAAACCAGATAATGGTAAATAAACATTTAAAACCTGAAAGTACTGTATAGTAGTTTCGTCGTAATATGGGAAACCTTAGTAGTCCACATCCATGAAACTTTACGTGATAATCAAACTCAGAATATTCAGTGACGCGCCCAAACGCTTAGAATATAGACCATTGATCGAGCATCTAACGATGTTACTGTCTGACTACAATCAATTCACGATATCGTGATACCATCTTGTATAGTCTTCGGTGAGTAACTGACTCACACCTGAAACAGTTGAACTTCATCGATTACGAATTTTTACTATAACTTTGAGAATTTTATCTCGAAGATAGTCACTGGTGAGCAAATGAAAACTTTTAGAATGTGGTTGTAGAGATTGTCAAACTTTATTAACTAATTAGTTTTCAATTTTGATCAAGTCACTATCATTCATTGATATTCGTAACATTATAATGGGGTAGTGGGTGTAAATGAATTAGAAATGCAATACGAGTAAAATAATCTTCACAAACTTTACATCCTGATAAAATGTAACATCTATCTACATATTTCGAATCACTTGTTAATTGACAACTTGATGATTGTATCTAATTTGGAATCCGGAAGGGAAGTGGAAAACATGGTCAAAGAACACATTTCATCGGCAAATAGAAACAGATATGAAAAGGATGAATAACAACTGCAAAGAAATGAGAAGGATTGCCCAGGACAGAATGAGATGAAGAATACTGGTGTGCGGAATATGCCACTCCACGAGGGGTAACAGGCGTAAGTAAGTAATGATTGTATGCAATATTTAAGTGTTTTACACAATATACATACTTTCTAATAATCAGTCAGTATATATATAGTAAAAGTTTATTTTTATTGTTTTCATTACTTAATAATTAATTTTCACACTAATTTCTTTAAGCATTTAAGTAGTATATTATTTTTCATAAAGGCATATGTACACGAGTTAAACTCATTCAAAACATTCGTAAGATTTAAACATACATACCTATAAATTAAACATCATTGATATACATTAAGTAATATCTCTATTCATAATGTAAACAGATAATCTATAAAAGGTTTTTTCTGTTTATTGTTGTTCAATAAAATGATAAACAGTTCAAATAATTAATTCACTTGTTATCGTTTCGTTGAATCTTCCAATTGATGTTTACGACTGCAACTAGTCAGTCTCTTATTGACATATATGAATACTGTTAGTATTGCCTCAATATGGTCTTGATTCACAAGCATTATAAGCAAAGATTGAAAGATTCAAACAACCAATACCAAATGAATTCAAACTTCACCCCATCGTACAAGCAAGTGGATATCAGGACTCAGTAGCTATGTGGATAACGTGATAGCGTCTGAAGCGAAAGGTACAGGGTTCGAGTCCCAGAGTGAGCATCAAGAAGCCTGATATGCAAGTGTACATCCAGCTGACAAGTCTCAAATGGGACGAAATGCGCGTCTGAAATTTCACTGCTAACCACTATCCACCTTAGTTTAAACTATAGTTAATATGTTATTAAATTATAATTCATTGATAATAATGTTAATTATTATTATTAATAATGATGATGTAAAGTTTGACTATTCTTCTTAAATAACAAAAGAGAGAAAAAAGAAGAACAAATAAATATCCTACATACTATAGAAAAATAAACAAATAATTAATCAAATTTTTTTTTAAAAAAAAGGGGGGTAAGAGAATACTAAGCCATTCTTAGAATAGATTAAGTGACAGATTGAATATGGCAATGATCTCAATTGTTGTTAAGTTTTATCCTGTGTGAATAAACATGAACATATACAATACAGTAACGGTAATAACGTGTCTATAAACGATAACACGATTGTTTTATTTGGAAATTATTATTGTTGTTATATGTTTCTTTTGTTTGGTTTTTTTTCTTTTTTCTTTTTTTTTTTAGTTTTCATTATTTTACACATGAATTAAGATGGAAGATTAAAAAAGAGATCATGATGATGAAAGAACAAATGAACTCGAGTATCATAGTTATCAATAATAATAATAATAATAATAATAATAATAATAAGTAAAATAATGATTGAAATTAATTTATTAATGTAACAATAATCTTAATAAACTGATCCACACTAACATTTAAGATTATCTTACAGTCAATAATTGTCATAGCAACTATTTTTTTTAATTTTATAACCTTGTTACGAGAAATAAAGTTTTGTTAATCCAGGAATGAATTCTGTTTAAATTTTAATGATTGATTATTTATTTAATAAAACAAAAATTTTTTAAAAATTAATTTACATAATTTTAATTAAATATTTAATTTGTTCATTATAACAATTAATTATATCTACTAATGGGCCCGAAATTCCCTAGTACGGCCGAGAGTAAGGAAAGTCACCTATCCCTCTCCAAATGTTCTCACACACGTATACGAAATTAAGAGGACGAAAATAGAATGTCCGGCGCTTTAACCGGATCGGTGGACACGGAGGATCCACCAAGGGGAGTTGGAAAACCCTGATTCCAAACCAGTGGTGCACATGGGTTCCACTACCCTGAAGGAACAAATGGCGTATGAATCAATCGTTGGTCACAACGTACTATGGGACTGCATCTCCTCACGATGCTCCACTGCCTTGTGGATCAGATCTTTAGGTCGAAGGCACCGAGTGTGGCACCCTAAGAAAACCACCTGCCTCAGTCTGGGCACCTGGGCAGTATCACAACCCTCACACAAATCAAATGAAATTTGTGTGGCACATATATATCTGGTGCACCTTTGTACCAATATTTCTGTGTTTAAATAAAAATAAATAAATACCTATAAATAAATCGAATTAAATAATCTAAAACTGATTTTGAGATGGTGGAGATTTGTAGCTCAGATGGGTGATTTTGGTGGAGTTTTGTTCTCTGAGTTGGAATTTTTGGTCGTGGAGCTTTCATTGTTCTGCAGTTCAGAAGAATGATGGAAGCTCCATGACCAAACCATCCATCTCAAAGAATAAAACTCCATCAAGTACTGATTTTGCAAGCATTTGAATTCCATATCACTCTTTAATGTTATGAGTATTAATATATTCTTAAAAGCATTTTTATAGTGAATAAGAACACAAGTGAAGATAGTCAAATGTATTTCAGTATATAAAATTACAGAATATCTAACTAAACTCTGTGAACCATATATTAAATAAATTCATAAATTTCATTTAGAGACTAACCAGTTGCAGTCCTAAACACATCGATGGGAAGATCCAAACAAACAATACTAAGTGAATTCAAACTTCACCCCATCGCACAAGCAAGTGGCTATCAGGACTCAGTGGCCGAGTGGATAACGCGATGGCGTTTGAAGCGAGGGTACTGGGTTCGAGTCCCAGAGTGAACATCAACTCTGAGATGCAGGTACATCCAGCTGACGAGTCCAAAATAGGACGAAACGCGCGTCCTGGATTCCACTGCTAGCCACTATCCATCTCTGCTTACCATTTACTATTATTTGTTTGAATCTTCCCAGAGTGAACATGAACTCTGAGATGTAGGTACATCCAGCTGACGAGTCGCAAATGGGACGAAATGAGCGTCTGGGATTCCATTGCTGGCCACTATCCATCTTTGCTTACGTATATTAAATAGTTATCTTGCAAAATAATCCATCGTCCCAAAATTCATTGTTTCTTTTGCAAATATTAATTGATTATCTCAGATTTCAATGTTCATACATTTTCATACTAACTGTGTTCCGTTCCTTAACGATCTTCAAATTGAAATATATTCTATGCCTGACCATCGTTATATAATTCGTATGTGGATATAAGTAACCCACACTACAATTTGACTAGTATTTGTTAATGATGGAAGTAAACATCAAAACATTAAGGACTACCTAATATGAAATTAGTTTTTACAAAAAAGTCACTTAGTGAAATATGTTTTATTCATTGGAAAATGTAAACTTCAATTTTGTATTACTTGATTTGTTAACAATGAAGATTATATAAATCTGTTCTATACAACAATGACATCTGAGTATGAAGTTGTGGAGATTGTTGAATTTCATTGAAATCATGAACCAATCAATGTTAAACAATTATTGAAAACCTAATGGCACTGTACGGTTGTTTCATCATAATATGGTAAACCTCATCCTGCACGAGGTAGTCGAACTCAAAATCTTCAGTATCACGTCCAAACAATATATGAAGGAAATAGAATTGTTTAGTCACGACTCTCCGACCAACTTTTATGAATCCGTTTAGACACATTTTGGAGCTGTAAACGTGTTTCTTTTTACTTGCAGTTTGGACTAATTACTCAATCGAATAATCATATCATAGAAAAGATGTACATTTTCCTGACTTTATAAACAATATCGTTTTAATCAAGGAAAATGAAGTGAGCTATAAATATCTTTCAATGCTTAACCATGGGGTGTAATGAATGTCCTTTACTGAGTGGTTTCAAACTGATCCGCAATGGATGATCATTGTCATGTTTTCAGTATGAGATTGTGCAGATTACTGAATTTTATGGGAGACACTAGGACAAAACAGTCGTACAGTGCTGTCAGATATTCAATAGTGATCCAACTTAGATCTGCACATGATTTCAATGACATATTTTATTTATTTAACTAAACAGAAATATAAACTTAGAAAATGAAAAAAGTGGATTACTCAAATTAAGTTATTAAAATATAAAATATAAATAAAGGCTCACTTCTTGTGGTGGAACATCAAATGTTACTGTTCTTAAATCCACTTTACGCATACGATCCATACATGGTACAACAAAAAATAAACCTGGACCTTTAGCACCTCCAGGAAGTATTCGACCCAAACGAAAGATAACTGCTCGTTCATATTCGGCAATAACCTGAGTTTTTTTTACAAAATTAAAAATTGTGAAAAACCTCTACTTTTTAAACTGAATAAAAATAGTTAAATGTCATTCAGAGATAAGGGCAAAGTATTTATACTTTAAATGGAAATGAAATGTTTTTACGACTGAAACTTTCTCACTAATCTAGTATTTTTGAGAATCAATATTGTTTCTGTTCTCACTGATTGAACTATAAATGACATACTGTGCGCATTGCCTCGATATAGCATTAATTCACGAGCATTCTACGCGAAGATGGATAGTGGCTAGCAGTGGAATCCAAGACTTGCGTTTCGTCCCATTTGGGACTCGTCAGCTGGAGGTACCTGCGTTTCAGAGTTGATGTTCTCGAACAAAGTACCTTTTACTTCGAACGCCAACGCTTTATCCACTCAGCTACTGAATCCTGATAGCCCATTGCTTGTGCAATGGGGTGAAGTTTAAAAATTCACTTGGTATTGTTTGCTTCCTCGATTCCGCTGCTAGCCACTATCTATCTTTGCTTACAAAAGTTGTGTTTGTTTAGCCAAAATGTTGATCAAATTTTTTGGAACTCACTGTCTATTAGAGGTGAGTAGCCCAGTGCTATGAAAGTATGAATCTCAGTAAGAATCTCAGTTCAACCACGTTTCTAAAAAAGGCTTACTAATGACTGCTGAATAGCTTGAAAAAAATCAAGTTCATTAGAACTTCTCATCAACTATTTTTAATCATTAACATTGTGACTGAATAAATAACAATGTTTAAATCTCAAGACTTATTTAAAAGCTTTTTTATCATCCCACATTTTTTTATTCAAATCCTTTTATTCTAGATTTACATAAATTTGATATTTTATAGCTTCAATGGATTATAGGTTTTAATTTGTTGCATATCACATTATACATATTCACTTCTATGAACATAATTTTGATGGAACAATATTGAGAAACATTAAAATATAAGAGTTGTTATCTCAACATTAACTCCATCTGTAGCTCCTCTGAGGGGCTACTGCCAGTCCCAAGCCCAGGTAAAGGAGGAGGGTTGGGTATGTTGTTAGCGACCCCATACTGTAGAAAACCAACCCGCTAAAAAACGCTTACCAGAAAAATTATTCAAATTCTCAACATTATGTAATAGGGATTGTATTTATGGAATATTTTTATTTATTTATTTATTTAAACACAAATATTGGTACAAAAGGGGCACCAGATATATATGCGTCCTGGGTTCGAATCTCGCGAGGCGAGATGGTGGATGCACACTGCTGAGGAGTCCGATAATAGGACAAAACGGCCTTCCAGTGCTTCCAGGTTTCCGATGGTGGTCTAGCTTCAATTGACTAAAGATTTCAACCATGGAAATGTTTCATTTATTGGTTAGGTGTTACTTAAAGATGAATATTTTTCAAGTTAGTATGGTTGTTCTATGATCATTTAACAACTTTTCACCCTTATCATAGACTTTAGTTAGACAACCAAGAAATACTGGATAGCTGCTGTTTTCTTGTATAGAATTGAATATTCATGACTTCACCTTGTATTAAGGCCTGGACCTTCAAGTTATTAAATATGAAAACCATTTTGAAATTGAACTGAGTTGGCTACAAAGACAACCAATAATTATCATTTGTTGACATTCTTTCATATTAGAATATAGTGTTTAACGTGCTAAATGAGTTTAGAAGATTAATGTTAACATGCCACTAAAAAGCAGTCTTGTTATATTTAAAACAAATTGTTATATCTGAAGCGTTTCGAATTCACTAGTTAGCGAATGGAACAAAGACTTGTTACGAGAGACCGATTAGCTAGCTATTCTGACGCGTCCCAGACCCAGCTAACTAGAGTAATAAGTCCAAATTGGAAGCGGGGAAAATATATTCCTTAGCAGCCATAAGCATAGCGATCGTAAGGGAAAAAATCAAACGTATATATACAGCAATAAATTGTCCTTCGGTAGCATTAAAAAATAGCACACACACATACAACGGACCAATAGCGTTAAGATACTTTACAAGTGGGAAATTCAATTCGAAGGTGAAAATAGTGCTTTTGGCGCGAAAACAAAGAAATTCAAAATTTCAAAATGAAATTACAAAATTAAGCCATTTACCAAGTAAGTGCTGGGGATTTAACATCCCCAACACAAATTTATCAAAAATGTTCTACGATTTACTTTTCCTTGATAATAATGATAATCAATCTGGTGAGTAACGCACTCTTGATAAGTAAATTGGTTGCTTCACCAAACATGAACTATTGTTCAATTGTAAGGAGGATGATCTTATTTGTACTTTCAACTATAAAGATTTTGTGCAGTTACTTCATGCTTTCTAGTGAACAACAGAACTCGAAGCTATTCTGTAGAACATGATGGTTTAGCGGTCAAAGTTTGAAGGTTGTTTGTTCAACTATCTTATCAGTTATATGTCATAAACATAAACACAGTTATCGTTTTTCGCCCCATCAATAAACGAAATCAAGGGTTTACATTCTTCAAATTAAATCGAATATTTTTTGAGTTTCTTGTGGCAAATTGTAAAATTATTTGTTTCCATATTCATACATAAAACTAAAATGACATCACAATTGATTGATCACTATGTGGTAATCAATGTCATGCCTGTCAAGTCCATCTTAGAGCTGATCTAATGCCCTCAATATTACAGGTACACCTTGCTAACGAGTGCCAAGTAGCACGAAACCTAGGTCCAGGGTTTCCTGTTGACCACCTTTAACCACCATCTTAAAATGATATTAGTTTTTGCAATGAACAATGAAAATATCATTGTCGATGATCATAGTGTATGTGAAAGCACGAATACACTAAACATCTATTTTGTCTTGATTACAAACTCCTGAGAATCAAACAATCTGGCAGGCAATTCATAATCACATTTACAAATAACATGAATGATCTAAACCTAGAATAGATTCACTTCATTCAAATTATTATTATCATATATATATATATACATATATATATGCAGACGATGACTTACTCGAGTAGTAAAGCATAATGATAGAGGAAATGTTATAATGACCAGTAAATAAGATAATCCTAATAGAATGAAACCAAAACAACCCAGATCTCCTGTAGCATCTGAAAGGACTAAAAGAAAAAAAAAAGAAAGATTCAAAAACAACAATGATCAAATCAAACCAATGTAGAATAATAGTGTGAATATAAACCAATATATCATATTTGTTTAACTAAACTAGAATATAACCCTAAAAAACCAAGTCATTTGATTGATAAACAAGTTAGTTAAAGTTTTATTTATTTATTTTAAAAATAATCTTGATGAACTAATGAAGAAGAAGAAGAAGAAAGAATAATGAAATAGGCCATAGAGAATGAGATATAAATAATTCTTCAATTATATTTAAATAGGTCAAAGGGAAGTTGGTTTGTTTTGTTTTGTTTTTAAATTAGAGATTGACGTACTTTTATTATGAGATTAAGGTATAAAGTCATTAAATCGTGATAAATATTTGATGTTAAAAAACGTTCTTATCAATTTATTACTTCATAACATGGTATGGTCGCCCCCGAATGCCCTGCTACGGCTGAAAATGGGGAGAATCCGCTCTCCCTTTCGAAATGCTCTCATATGGCCACGCGTATATAGCCTCTGTCAACGAAGTCCTACTCACTGCCTTCTCATGGCACCGGTGTTGTTTACCGAATTGAGAGGATGAAAAGCGAATGTCCGGTGCATTAACCGGGTCGGCCAACACGGAAGGTCCACCTAGGGGAGTTGGGGAAACGCCGATTCCAAACCAGTGGTGCACATGGGCTCCAATATCCTCAGTGAACAAATGGCGTATGAATCAATTGTTGGTCACCAGCTTTCATGGGACTACATCTCTTCACGATGCTCCACTGCTCTGTGGATCAGATCTTTAGGTCGAAGGCTCCGAGTGTGGCACCCTAAGAAAACCACGTGCCTCAGTCTGGGCACCTGGGCAGTATCTCAGCCCTCACACAAACGGAATGAGATTTGTGCGGCACATACATATCTGGTGCCCCTTTGTACCAATATTCATATGTTTAAATAAATAAATAAAAATATTCCATAAACACAATCCTTATTATATAATTTGTGAACACCTCTTATATTTTAATGTTTCTCATCATTATTTCATCGAAATTATGTTCATAGAAGTGAATATGTATGATATGAAGTTATAGTTAACTGTCGGTATAAATCAACACTTGTAATGAACATATACATTAAGTTTAAATTCACTTGGTATTGTTTGTTTGAATCCTCCCATTGATGTTTTAGGACTTCAACTGGTCAGTCTCTTATTGAAGATATGTGCATACTGTGCGTAACGCAATACAAAGTGAATTTAAACTTCACCCCATTGCACAAGCAATTAGCTATCATGACTCAGTGGCTGAGTGGATAACGCCATGGCGTTTGATGTGAAAGTTACTGTGTTCGAGTCTCAGAGTGAACATCAACTCTGAGATGAAGGTAAATCCAGCTGACGAGTCCCAAATAGAACGAAACGCACGTCCTGCATTTAACCACTACTAGCTAATATCTATCATTGGTTACTATACATTAAGTTGTTGGTATAATCTGTAACGCTGTAATAAAAGAAAAGACAAACTGAAGTAGATGACAAAAATGACAATTTCCTTGGACTTATTTTTCAGTTTGAGAAGCAATCTACCCTTTTATTATCATGATATTCAATATGGCTATATGGAGATATTCTATCAACTTTGATCTCATCTTATAGTTTTCTGTAAAGACTAATAACTAAAGGACACTTTTTTGAAATAACAAAATGTAATTGGAAATATGTTAAGACATAAAAAGTTTGGTTGCCATGTGGTGATGGCGTAGAAATCTTTTCAGAATTGTTAAAACAAACTTATATTATAATAAATAAGTAATATATATTGGTAATATTCCAATGAGTAGAAATATTAGATTTTCTGACGTTTCGTAACTCAATGTAAGCCACTTCTTCAGAGAATAAATAACCAAATTAATATTAATCCAAGTTTAAATAATACAATGGAACAATTATATTATAATACAAACATTGAATATATACCGTTTTCTTCAAGATGAAATTGAGAGGAAAAACCTATCATTCATAGAGAATTCACTAACACTATAATGAATAGGCATCTAATAATCTTTTTTACTATATTAAATTCTATATATTAGACAATTTCTTATATAGTAGATTGTCAATGTGATAGTGATCAAGGAACAATATGTGTTAACCTTAAACAAAATCTGTGGTTTCATGGTAATATGAAAATTGACATTACAGTTTATTGTTTAATGGCTTGCCATCAAACCTTATTCTTTATTTCATAGATTGTGATCAACTTCTCATTTAAAGTGATACAAGATCTATACATTAGGTTTATGTACAAACTAAACAAACTACATAGCACTATAAAAGAGAAAATAAGATTTGTACAAGATCTAGCCAGAAATGACTATGAATGTGGGAGAATGTAATTGATACACTAGGCATAACTCAAGAGCAATAAATCGTATAGTAATAGTTTATGAGTCAAAATAAAGCTTATAATAAGGAAAACATAAAATTGCATAGATTAGCTACATAATAATTATACAATAAAAATCCTAACAGCCAGAATTTCTTATTCCCGTCGGGATATATCATATATACAGAATTTTTAATGGAAAGTGTTCAAGGGGCAATGAATTGGATATAAAATAAAGATATTAAAGAATAAAAAGGAAGGAAAGTGACGAAGGAGGGATCCCTGAATATCAAGGGAATTATAAACAAATCTATTGAGAAGACTGAATACATTGTTGTGAAAGCTAAATATATCGTAAAGAAAATCTCTTTGATAAATCATTATTTAATATCACAAGGGAATTTGTGGATATTATAGTAGTTTTAACAAATGGGGATCACTGAATCAATTGAAGCTAGACCACGATGGAAAACCTGGAAGCAATGTATGGCCATTTCGTCCTATTGTGGGACTTTTTAGTAGTGCGCATCCACTATCTCGTTTCGCGAGATTCGAAACCAGGGCCTATCAGTCTTGCGCGCGATCGCTTAACCTGTAGACCACTGAGCTAGCCGAAATCCGGAGGTGTTAATGTCCAGCTTCAACCGATGCACAAAATTGAGCGACACACAGAACCTAGGTTCGAATCTTGCGAGGCAGGATCGTTGACACGCACTGCTGAGGATTCTCACAGTAGGACAAAACGACCGTCCAGTGCTTCCAGGTTTTCTATAGTGGTCTAGCTTCAATTGACTCATGAACTCAACTATTGAAGAGCATTATTTGTTATATCATATTAAGAATTATAAATCCAATTCCAGTCATACTTTACAATAATTGTTCACATAGTAGTCCTTAATGCTCAGTTTGTTTAGATTTTAGTAAGGATCAAAGTTTATCGATAGACTTCAATGGTCCAAATTGATCTAAGAGGCTTCATATCACGTCCATCAAGTTTTGATATTTAGTGTAGAGAACTAATCGATAAGAAAGTAAGCATTGAAACTTTTAATTAAGTGACAAACGTCATCAAGATATATCTATAATCCTGATTGAATTTACTACTCCATTCATATTGAAGAAGGTATTAGTTTTAGATTTGCCCTAATATGAATAACTATAATTTAAAATTTACTTTACCAGTTTATAATTTACAAATACAATGTATTCTATTCATCTTAGACTACTGATATGTCTGATGTAAGCAAATGATGTTATTTTTGATTCTTTAACATTGGTTCCTATGACAACGATAGCTTACATTGTCTTTATTCCCCCCTCTAATTAGGTCCAATGAAGTAGTACTATTAGTAATTGAATAATGTTCACTTAAATCTTAGTTCATTAATTTGTATTTATTTGTTGTAATAACAAGAGAATTATGTTTACGTATAAATTGTCGGTAATCTATTCAAATTGATTATGACGCAATTACATAATACCTTTGATATAGTAACAATGATAAGACTTTAATTTTATTTCCTCTATGAGATTGTTACTACTATATATAAAAGAAGTTGGTTACAACAGACATGATAGAAGGATGGTCTATCGTTTTTTTTCGGTTAAACTTCACTCATTCTATATACATTTCCAATACTCTATAGACAATATGTGATGTACAGTAAAATGATTTAACTATTTTTGCATTGCCATCTATATGGAAATATCCCATTGAATGGATCATTGACTTTTTCAACTTATAACATTGATGAACTTGATTGTAAGGGTTTGAAATCGCTTACAATGTTGCTGCACAGTCTGTTCAGTTACACGATTATTCTCACTTTTGCTATTATCTTACAACTGAACGACCCGTTGTCATTTGTTCTTCTTCAAATCTTACTCTTTCAATACTTATCTAATTGACGCCATCAGTATCCTCTATTGTAGGTCAATAACTTGAAAGATTTGTTAATAAATGAAAGGTTGGCTTGATCATTACTGTAACGTTTGGTGAAATGCATTCCAATCCCGTGGTGAATAACAGTTTTACCAGTTTCAAGACACACTTTTTAGACGGTTACCAACTAGGAAACAGTATCAGTTCAGAACTGTCGATCATCACTGATCACCTAATATTAGATAAGATGATCCCACCTGACAGTGAGACTATATTTTAATGAAAAATTTGTATAACATAACACTTGACTTATAAGAATTGATACAATATAGTGTTGTAACTCTTGAGTTTATAATAAGAAAATATTTAAACTGACTTCCTAAAACTTCATCTCTTTATGGTATGATCCGTACGAAATGTAGCATAAAACGACGTAATAGTCACATCGTAAGTAAAAACTTCACATAAATGAGGAATTTTTTCCAAAGGGAATTACAAATATACGTCTGTAAAAGAAATAATTATTGGTATGGAAGGCTTGTAAAGGTTATTGAATTTAATTCACTTGGAAATTTAGTATTTTCTTAAGATCCTTTACATAACTAATGATTATGTGACTTGGTCAGAGAGGCACTCTATGGAGTTCCAATGGGAAGCAATAACCAGTAGGGTTCAATCATGTCGTACATGAGGTAGTCACCTATCACTTGCATTATAAAATGACTGATCAGTATCACTAGTT